TCACTAAACCCCATCTACTTTATTATTCTGTTTTCTTTTTAAAGTCACTTTGCCATCATTTCCAGATCCAAAACAGGGCATCAAGTGAGAGAGAGCTCAAACACCCTAACGTAATAATATTTGTATAATATTGTATTATTTCCATAATGTTACTCACACTTGAACATCAGTATTTTTAAAGAACAAAGACAGCCCAAGTGCTGAACATACAATACTGTGTGGTTCCAATTATGTGACATTTTGGCATCTGAGTCTTAACCTTATTCAGGTAAGACCACAGTGTATCTAGAAACTGTAGAGTCTGTTAACCTTATTCAGGTAAGACCACAATGTATCTAGAAACTGTATTTGTAATTAGCATCAATTCTTCTCATACTTTTACTCAGGCTATCACTGAAGAGCCACATCTTTCAGTGTCATCTCTGTTTTGCCTCTCTCTACCCTCTGGTGGGAAAATGGAACGATGAAATGACCAAAAGGTGGCAGCAGGAGGGAGGAAGAGTAAACAGTCCCAGAGACACAAAGAGCTGTCCCTTCACACCTGGCTGTGGGTCCCTAGGTGACCCCAAGTGGGTAAAGGTCCATCACAACAGATTTTCCCCCCTCTAGTTCTTCAACCCATAACCAAGAATTTCAAAGCAGTGGCCCAGGAAATGCTCCTTGGCTTTGCTTAAAGAATTATTTTGAGTGAATGGATTATAATGTTCCTTTAGAATAGGTTTTATGACTTCATTTGTAACCATCTACTGTTTTCAATTCCATCAGAAACATAACAGAATTAAAAAACAAAACCAAAACCCAACATAATGTTTCACTTTGTCAAATACTTTGTAGCTAATGGCTAGAAAATGTCTTGGTTAATTTATTGTTGCTTAACATGACTAGATTAACAGAATGGCAGCCAAGTTTTTTTACCAGAGAAGCTCCTATGAACATTTACTGCTTTGGAAATCCATAGGTCTCTGTGAGTCAGAATTGATCCAACAGCAGAAGATTAGTTTTGAAAGATGGTATATGCCCAGATAATTCTTATTAGTTCTTTTATATTGGCATTTACTCTTCTGTTATATGTTATCACCTTTCTACATGCATTTATGCTGGGAATGCTACATTTAATAAGTGAAATCCACTAGTGAAGAAACAAAGTAGAAGTCTTCACTGTGCATCAGAGAGCTGGACAGTGATCAAAGATGACAGAAGAAGAATTGATGCCTTTAAGTTGTAGTGCTAGAGAATAGTATTGAACATACCATGAACTACCAAGAGAACTAACAGATATGTCTGTGAGGGTGAAGCCAAGCTGCTCGTTGGAAGCAAGGATTTTTGAGGCTGTCTCACATACTTCGGGCATGTAGCCAGAAAGGACCAGTCTTTGGAGAAGGACATCATGCTTGGAAAGGTGGAGGGACAGCACAGGAGAGGAAGACCTTAGATGAGATAGTTTGACATAGTTAACTGGGGTAATGAGGTAGATATCTCAGAGACCATGAGACTGGCTCAGGATAGAGCAGAGTGCAGAGCTGTTATGCATAGTAGATGACTTGACAGCACATAACAACAACCAACACCATCACCACCATGGTCTGCACTATGACATCAGACAGCATCGATTTTAGGAAAGAGCCCTGGTGGTGCAATAATTAAGCACTAATTAATAGCTACTACCTGAAAGGTCAGTGATTAAAACACACCAGCTGGTGAGGGAGATAAAGGTGTTGAAGTCTGCATCCATAAACATTTGCAGCCTTGGAAAAACCCTAACAGTTCCTCTCTTTCCTATAGGGGGCACTGTAAGTCAGACTCTCTCCATAGCAGCAGGTTTGGGGTGTTTTGGGTTCTGTTTGGTTTGGGTGATTGTGTGCAGAGGCCATGAATGCCAAAGTCATTTCTTATTCCTTCTTCTCTGAATTCTCCTTGAAGGTAGACTCTATTCATGAGATTATTAAGAAAAATGACTGGGTTTGGTCCCTGCTGTAATAGCTTGCTCTGGTAGCTCGCAATGGGAGAGTATTAAGCAAAGGAATTCCACCTGGTTTGTTTTAAAAGAGAACACGTTTTCCAGCAACAATAGCAGAGTTCAGCAGGGCAGCAAACTACAAATGTTAGTGAGGTTGTATAGAGATTGGAACTCTTATTCACTGTTGGTGAGAATGTAAAATGCTACAGCCTCTATGGAAGGCGGTCTGGCACTTTCTCAAAAAGTTGGAAAGAGAAATACCATTTAACCTAGCAACTCCACTACTGAGAATATAGCCTAAAGTAATAGATCTGTGACCCAAACAGAGGTACGCACACCCATGTTTATTGCTGCATTATTCTCAATAGCAAAGAGATGGAACCAATTGAAGTGCCCATCAGCAAACGAATGGATAGAAAAACTATGGTACACTCACACAATGGAACAGTAGAATATTACACAGCACTGAAAAATAATGAACTTGTAAACTATTACACACATGGGGGGAGCCTGGAGAACATTATACGAGTGAAATATCTCAGTCACAAAAAGACAAAAACGACATACTACCACTATTATAAAACAGGACAGATATGGGAGTGTTGGAGAGGGAATGGAGAAGAGTGACTAGATAATGAACACTGCCTTAGAACAGATGGGAGGAAGAACTGTCCAGAAGGAATATGTGATTAGGCATTACATGTATGACAACAATCTGGAACAAGGGGTGCATTTTGGTGGGGGGGAGGGGAAGAAAATGTTCAGCAATGGAAAAATGTAATACTATTTTTTTTTTAGAAATCCATTGGATATTGTTAAGAACATGTATTTAAAACTGCTCAAAACCTGCAAAAAAATAAAAAAGAGCATGTTTTCAATATAACTCACACAGAAATGCCTGTATACATACATTGGTTAATCTAATTTTTTTTATTTCTATTCATTCATTGTTGCACATTTTCCTCCCTGCTCACCCCTCACCCCACTTTCAGTTCCCTTTCCTCTTTGAAAAAAAATCTTTCATTATTGTATAATTTCCACCCCCCCCAGCCTCATCGCCCCCTGCCCGCCCCCGCTGAGTCCTCTTTACTATGCAGCTCTTACTCTGTACTGTTGTCATGCAAATAATATCTAATCATATATTCCTTTTAAGCAGTTCTAGTCCTCATCTGCTTCAATGCAGTGTACATTATTTATCCCCTCTTTTCTCCATTCGTTTGCTGATGGGCACTTCAATTGGTTCCATCTCGTTGCTATTGAGGGTTGCTTTGCTCATGGGGGTTGAGGGGAAACCCCCATGTCAGTCCTGTTTTATAACAGTGGCATATGCAGTATTTGTCCTTTTGTGACTGAGATATTTTACTCAGCAAAATGTCCTCCAGGGTCACTCATTTTGTATAATATTTAATGAGTTCCTTGTTTTTGATAGTATTCCATTGTGTGAATATACCACAGCTTTTCTATTCATTTGTTGATGGTTAATCTAATTTTAATTTAAAAGTGACAGCCGAGAATTTGTTGGTTTTTAATTAATGACTTATTTTTTAAAAAGCATTTTTTAGTTTGGGGGGGTTTTCCTATTAAAACAATTTTAGACTTTTTAAAGGAGTTTGTAAAGTTGACAGTTTTTTAAAAGATTAACACTTGGGGAAATTAAATGGAATAGAAATGGACTATAGAATAATACCTCTTAATTTTGCTTTTTATATTTTCATATGAAGAAAGACTACAAGGGACTTTGCACAGGAAATTAAAATAGCTAATGTGTTTGGGTGCTGTAACTAAGTAGGGTTTTTACTTCTTTTCTTTTCTTTCTTTTTTTTTTTTTGTCTCACATTATTTCCCTTACTGCTATAATAGGATGCTATTTATGCAACCAATAAAATTAAGGAATGGAGGAGAAAGCTTGAGATTTTTAATTTATGGTGAACTCAAGACTTCTCTTCTGGCAAAATGTAGACACACAGTAATTCCAGTGTTTGGTCTGAAGCTCCAGGCAGACAGAGGGATGGGAAGGAGATTGTGGTCTCCTGTCCCACCATTTGAAGTCAGGTTATAGTTCATAATAAGAATGGTATGATTCTTCACAGGATGATGGTGGAGGCATATAGGAGTGTACATTTGTCCCTTCTGTCAATTTGGAAAGCAATATATTAGAACGGTTAAGAGCAGCTGTGTCAGAGGTGCAATATCTTTAACCAGCTGTAGTCTGAGGAAGTTGCTTATCCCCCAGCCCTCCACATGGGGTGGAACACATCAGCTTTCCCCCACTTCACCCCACTCTGTGGGAAGTAATTTGTCTCATAGAGGTGTAATGAAAATGTGTAGAATAAACCTATCACAAATGTCTTGTTGTTGTATACCAATGAGTCAGAACCAACCCATTGCTGATCTTCCAGTGGGTTTTCAGTTAATCGCATGAGAGGAGGTTGCCTGTCCTTTTCCTGTGGAACATCTGGTGGCCTCAGATCTAATGTCTTCAGGATTGCAACACAGCTTCTTACCACTAGGCCACCAGAGCTCCAACACAAATGTCTAGTGCATATCAAATCCATACCATCGGCGAGCTCTGGTGGCCTGGTGGCAAGAAGCTGCACTGCAATCCTGGAGGTGTGCGGTTCAAATCCACCAGATGCTCTGCTGGAGAGGGAGGGGCAATCCCCTCCTGGACCAGTCAGATCTCATTTGACGGTACACACACACACAAATAATAAAAATTTTAAAAAAAAAATCCATACCACCCCCAACCCTTTGAGTAATTTCTGCCCCTTGATGGCCTCCCTTGTGTTTCTGAAGCTGTAAATCTCAATGGGAGCAGACTTCATCCCTTGATACTAGATACTAACTGCTAGATCCAAACCATCAGCCTTTCAATCAGCAGCCCAGCTGGTGTGCGTTAAATATGGCTCCTTTTATCCTGACTGTGCTGACTTTCTAATCTTTGTAATGTTGCTAGAGATAGTTCCTATACATTCTTGTTTGTAGAGGTAGTTGTGTCTTTGTTCATATCTGTTTACTGAAGTAATCTTCTTTTCCTTTACAGATCTATGTCATTGACAGTGCAGACAGAAAAAGATTTGAAGAGACGGGTCAGGTAAATAATTACTCTGTCAAGATACTTCCCAAGTGGTTGGGTATACATATTTATTAATATACCTTATTAATGTGTGAACGTAAGGGAGGCTTTTTTTTTTAGCTTTATGGTCAAACAGTATAATTCTAGACAAAAATATCTGCTATCTAACAAGAAATTAGTTTGGATTATACTTTTTTTTGCTTTAATGAAATTATCAAGCTATAAGCAAATGGAACTTAGCATCATACCTAAAAGGTCTTCAGGTTTCCTCCTCTCAAGCCCACCTAGAAATGAACCCCCAGAAACAATTCACTTAATCATCTCCTACTTACACTTTTCAAGACAATTGATCCAGAGGTATATTTGATAAAGGAATGAGAAGAAATGTACAAGTTACTCTTGTTTTCAAGCTAGAAGATAAAGTATGCCATTTGAAGCTATGTGTGTTCTCAAATACAAGGCCTGACCCCACCATGTGATTGTATCACACAGTTATTAAGGAGAGAAGCAACGAGGAAAGACCATTTTACCCAGACTGGGTATAGGGATAGAGGAAACTTGAAGTAGAGTGGACCTCTTTGAAGAAATGTGTGTAAATATCACTATGGAATCCCTGTCCTGTGTAACTATCTTAGGTGACCTTTCAAAATTGCTCTTGTTATTGTTAGATGCCACTTAGTTGGCTGCAACTTATAACAAGTCTGTGTACAATAGGCATTTGATTATGTGGATCATAACAAATTATGGCTAACACTGAGAACAGTAAGAATCTCAGAATAACCTAATTATGCTTACGCAAAACCTGTACATAGACCAATAAGGTATTGTCTGAACACAATAAGAGAACAATGTGTGATTTCAAATCAGAAAGGATGTGTGTCAAGGTGATATCCTTTCTTCATACCTACTGAGTCTGTATGCTAAGCACATAATTCAAGAAGCTGGACTACATGAAAATAAACGTGGCATCAGGATTAGAGGAAGAGTCAACCAGCAACCTGTTGTATGCAGACAACACAACCTTGCTTTCAGAAAGTGAAGAAGACTTTAAACACTTGCTGTAGAAAATCAGAGGCTACAGTCTTCAATATGGATTACACCTCAGTATCAACAAAACAAAAATTTTTACCACTGGACCAATAGACAACATCATGATAGATGGGGAAAAGATTGAAATAGTCAATGATTTCTTTTTTCCTTAGATCCACAATCAAAACCCATGGTAACAGCAGTCAAAAAATCAAAAGGCATGTTGCATTGGGAAAATCTATTGTCAAGGACCTCTTCAAAATGCTAATGAGGAAGAGTGTCAGTTTAAAGACTAAGGTGTGGTGGTGCTCCCCTGGTCTCTCTCTCTCTCTCCAGACCAAGGAATCTCACTCAGGAGCCCCCTTAATTAAAAAAAAAAAAGACTAAGGTTTACCTGATCCTAGTCATGTTCTTTTCAGTTATTTCCTATGCATCTGAAAGTTAGACCGTAATTAAGGATGGCAGAATATTTGTCTTTGAACTCTGATGTTCTAGAAGAGTACTGAATTATATCCTGTGGATTGCCAAAAGAACAAAGGAGTCTGGTCTGGAGAAAGTATAACCAAGGTGCTCCTTAGAGGCAAGGCGGGTGAAACTTGATCTCACACACGGGGCATGTTATCAGGAAGCCCCAGTCCTTGGGGGGAAAAGCCATCATGCTAGGAAAGGTAGATAGTCGCTGAAAGAGAGGCAGACCCTCACTAAGATGGATTGACTTAGTGACTGTACTGATGAGCTTGAGTGTGTCAGAGATCATGAGGGTGGTGGTGCAGGGTCTCCTGTTCGTACAGTTACTCTAAGTCACAGTCAACTTGATGACACCCAACAGTGTGTATAACAGAATGTAACCCTCCCCAATCCTGTGCCATCCTCATATTCTCAGCTACATATAAATACTGTTGCAGTCACTGCTTTAATCATTAAAGATCTTCCTCTTCTTTTGCTGACCCTCTAAGGAACTGGCCTTCCTGAAAACATGCCTAAAGTCTGTGAAATGAAATCTCACCATCCTCAATTCTAACAAGCACTCTGGCTCCACGTCTTCCATAACAGATTTGTTTGTCCTTTTGGCAGTCTATGGTATAGTCAGTGTTCTTTGCCAACACCAAAAGTAGCAATCCCTGTGTTTATAGTTGTTTTCCCCCCCTGGAAATTAGACTGAAAATTCTCCAGACTGTTGGAGTCAGCCCATCACCCTTCTTTACCAGAAGATTCCTAAATCATCACTCTGCAAACCAGTGTTAAACATGGATTTGGGAATGAAGGGTGATTATATGTAAATACAATCAAAACATCCAGTTTCTTGAGTCATCCAGTTTTCTTTAATAGCTCAGGCATTTTATGTAGCTAAAATATTACTCTAATGGGAAAGAAGCTTCGTCTGACATACTTTGGACATGTTGCAGGGAGGGACTAGTCCTTGGAGAGGGACTTCATGCTTGGGAGGGTGGAGGGACAGCACAGGAGGAGAAGACCCTTAATGAGATGGATTGATGTAGTTACTGGGGTAATGAGGATAGGTGTGTCAAAGACAGTGAGATTGGCACAGGATAGGGCAGGGTTTAGGGCTGCTGTACATAGGGTCTCTATGAGTTGCAGGTGACTTGACGGCACATAACAACAACAATGGGAAAGAAGAGTGGCTTATCATTTTGATAAAATTATACACTGTCATATATTTGTTACAGATTCAACATACATTTTTTTTTTATTTTTATTCTTGTGTGTGTGTGTGTGTGTGTGTGTGTGTGTGTGTGTGTGTGTGTGTACCGTCAAATGAGATCTGACTGGTACAGGAGGAGATGGCTCCTCCTTCTCCAGCAGAGCATCTAGTGGATTCGAACAGCATATCTCTGGGATTGCAGTGCAGCTTCTTGCCACTAGGCCACCAGCGCTCCCCTCAACATACGTTTTAGACAGCAACCAATAATGTAAAAATCAGAGACTTTATTACTTGAGACTATATAGTCATTTTAGAAGGTAGACTTGATGTATTGTACATAGGTCTGCATGTGTTAGGTAGAGACTGATGAAACGATCATCGCTCTAAAGCAATAGTCATTTTCAGTTTGATTCAGTTCCTATTAATACATGTGTACAAAGACACGAGTTGCATTGTGAAAGATGGCTGTCAGGGACTTCTCCAGAGTACTGAAAAGCAACGACGTCAGTCTGGAGACCAAGGTATTCATATTGCAAGCAAGTGAGAAGACCATGGCCTGGATAAGGTATATCTTATTCTCTAGAGTGACACTGTTGCTCTTTAGCACTCTGAAGAGTTCCTCAACAGCAGATTTTCCCAACGCAATTAATCTTTTGGCTTCCTGATGTTGGTGCCAAGGGTGTTGACTGTGGATCTGAGCAAGATGAAATCAATTAAAAAAAAAAAATACATGTGTACATACTTACATTGTTAGTTGCCGACAAGCCAGTTGCTGACAAATGATGATCCAATGTATGCAGAGTAGAACTATTCCGTAGGATTTTCAAGGCCATAATCTTTCAGAAGCAGATCTCCGGGCCTGACTCCCAGCACACTCTGGGGAGGCTTGAACTACTGACTCCCTAAGTATGGTCATCAAGAAAATGCCTCCCGTGCAGTCCTTAAATTTGGCCTCTTCCTTCTGTTAAGTAAGAATAGCAAAACCAGAGTCCAGACTTCTCTGTGCAAGCAAAGAAAGAGGTTTTTTTGGGAAATAGGTAGCATGCAGAGAGGCGGAGGAAGGACAAGGCACTTGTAGCCTGTGTGAGACCTCCAAGGAAGGAGGAAGTGATTCTTTGAATGGCTCTGTAGGCAGAGAAAGGATTTCATGTTTATTCACACAGAGCATGGGGTTTGAAGAGTTCTCTCTAAAAAGGAAAAGATGATAGTATTTATGTATTAAAAGAAGAGGAGGTCCCCTGGGATTGGCTCTGGTGGGACAGAGCAGGATAATTCAGCACATACTCAGCTTTCTTTCAAGGTGGCGGCCACAGGAAGTACCTTCTGGGTCATATGGGGAGCAGATGATTCAGGGGCTGAGAATATGCATGATTCAGCACTGTCATAAACATATTAGGGGCAATCACAGCAGTTTGAAGGGCCTGGGGCCGTTTTCCATTATTTCAGCACTCCCTGTTTTATCTCCTGGGGTGAGTCTTAAAACCCCCCTAGGGGTAAGCATTAATCAGATTAGATACTATTTCCTGGAACACCTGGATCAGTTGGGTAAGGTCAGAAGCTCACCACAATGGAGTCATTTTGGTGGTCAACCTGACACTTAGGGTGTGTTTTGGGTTTTGTAAGGCCTGCTTTAAGCAAATGCTGACTTTCCTGATCTGAATCCTCTTAGGGGAAAATAATTAAGCACATCATGTAAAGAGGGGAAGGAGTTGGGAAAATAAGAAAGTCTGTGGTTTAGGGCAAACTTAGCAGTAACCCAGTGAAAGTTTAAAACAGTTTAAATTGTCTTTTCATTCCTTGAAAAGGTTGTCTTTAATACAAGGTGGTGGTGTTACGTGCAGTCTAGTCACCTGAGACTCACAGCAACCCTGTCCACAGTAGCTCTGAGCCCAGTCCTATCCTGAGCCAACCTCACTATCTCCAACATACCTGTCCCCATCACCCCAGTTACTGTGTCGCTACAGAGTGAGGAGGTCCTGTTATTAGAAAGCAGTGGCACTCAGCCATAGAGTTTACGGTGGAGGGAAGCAACAACAATTAAAGGATTTAAACTTCCATAGTAAAAGTTTTCATCAAAATTGTTCATGAGTGGCATCCACTTCCTAAACAACATGCCTCTGGAAACTCTGTGAACTTTGATAAATGTCGATAGTTATAGAAAGACTTTAGGCCTTTTGTTCATAAGGTCACTGATAGGGTGGTATTAATAAGTTCAGAATTCTCTATATAGGTATCAATTATAAAACTATAGTTTTCTCCAGACTGCGGGACTGGTTGCTTGACCTTGGAGTTCTTAGTGTCCTTTCTGTGATCTGTCAATCAGAAGAGGAGATGCATCTCCTAGATTAACTGTTATCTCTTTGAAGCTGTTTTTCCCAATCATATGTAAATTATAACCTTACCTGCCTGTTTGCCTGGAAAGGGAGTATCTGGGTGTGAATGCTTTTCTTTCAGAAATAGAAATTCTTTAATTTTACTAACAAAAGTTTATTGTTAAGTATGTTGATGTCTCACCATCCTATAAAAACCCATGACCACTCCCATACGGGGAGACAGTCTTGGAGGTGACTCACTGTCTCCCAGATCTATGTAATAAAGTGCTTATGGATATTGCAATCCGTTTGTCTTATTGGCGATTGACTACAGAAAGAACCCCTTGTGTTCTGTAACATCACTATGATTCGTGCTCGACTTAATGGCAATCAACAACAACAGACTAAAAGGATACTTCTCTTTTTAAAAATATTAAAGAAATGTTAGAGTTTTATTTTGTTTTCGTTGCTTTCTTTCCTGCTGCAAACCTTTCAGTTTTGCAGCCCAGCACTTAAAACTATTTGTACCACCCAGAGACTGTTTATGTTCTAATTCTAGAAGGGATCAAGATTGGTGGAAGATCTATCAACAATCTGCGATATGCAGATGACACAACCCTGCTTGCTGAAACTGAGGAGGACCTGAAGCGCTTGCTGCAGAGGGTCAAGGACTGCAGCCTCCAATATGGATTGAGGCTCAATGTCAAGAAGACAAAGGTTCTCCACTGGGCCAATTGGCAGCATCAGGATGGATGGTGAAGAGATTTGAGATTGTTCACAGCTTTAGTTTGCTTGGCTCCACAGTCAACACTCTTGGCACCAGTAGCCAGGAAATTAAAAGACATATTGCCGTGGGAAAATCTGCTGTTATGGGAAAATCTGCTGTTAGGGACCTCTCCAAAATACTGACGAGCAGTGATGTCTCTCTGGAGACTAAGGTGCGTCTGATAAAGGCTATGGTCTTTGTGATCACTTGTTATGCATCAGAGAGTTGGACAATGACTAAGGAGGATAGAAGGAGAATTGATGCCTTTGAGCTTTGGTGCTGGAGAAGAGTATTGAAGGTACCATGGACTGCCAGGAAAACAAACAGATTCATCCTGGAAAGGGTTAAACTGGGCGGCTCCTTGGAGGCAAGGATTCTGAGGCTCCACCTAACATACTTTTTTGGACATGTTGTAAGGAGGGACCCGTCCTTGGAGAGGGACATCATGCTTGGTAGGGTGGAGAGACAGCGCAGGAGGGGAAGGCCCTCTATGAGGTGGATTGAATCAGTGACTAGGGTAATCAGGATGGGTGTGTCAGAGACAGTGCTGGCACAGGACAGAGCAGAGTTTAGGGCTGTTGTACATAGGGTCGAGATGAGTCTCAAGCGACTCAACAGCACATAACAACAACAAATTCTAGAAGTTGGACTATACATGAAGAAGACTATGGCATTAGGATTGAAGGAAGACTTAATTGACCACCTATCGTATGGAGATGATACAACTTCTTTTGTTCATGTTATTATTGTTTTGTGCCATTGAGTCATAATGAGCCCAAAGCTGATCTTTCAGCCAGTTTTTAGAGGCTATTTCATTGCAAGGTAAGAAATTGCCCATCCTTCTGCAGAGCAGCTGGTAGATTTGATGATTTGAACTTCCTGCTTTCGAGATTATAGCACAGCTTCTAATCTTGAGAAGAATGGAAATCCCAGAACACCTGATTGTGCTCATGTGAAACCTGTACTTGGATCAAGAGGCACTTTTTTAGAACAGAGAATGGAAACATTGCATGGTTCAAAATCAGGAAAGGAGTGCATCAGGAATGTTTTCTGTCTCCAGACCTTTTTAAATCTATATGCAGAACAGATCATTTGGGAGGCTGAACTTCAAGAGGACAAATGTGGCATCAAGATTGGGAGAAGATTCATCAACAACATTTATTATGTTAATGGCACAACCTTGTTTGCTGAAACTGAGGAGGGCCTGAAGCATTTGCTTCAAAGGGTCAAGGACTACAGTCTGCAATATGGATTGAAGCTCAATATCAGGTAAACAAGGATTTTCACCACTGGGCCAATTGGCATCATCATGATAGATGGAGAAGAGATTGAGATTGTTGATAACTTCATCTTACTTGGTTCCACAATCAACATTGTTGGCACCAGTAGTCAGGAAATCAAAAGACAAATTGCACTGGAGAAGTCAGCTGTTGGGGACCTTTCCAGAATGCTGAAGAGTAAAGATGTCAGTCTAAAGACTAAGGTGTGCCTAATCCAGGCATGGTCTTTGCAGTTGCTTATTATGCATCAGAGAGCTGAAAAATGACCGAAGATTACCGAAGAGTTGATGCCTTTGAGTTGTGGTGCTGGAGAAGAGTGTTGAACTGCTGTGGACTGCCAGGAGAACAATCAGGTCTATCCTGGAGAGGATGAAACCAAGCTGCTTCTTGGAGGCAAGTATTTTGAAGCTCTGTCTCACATACTTTGGGCATGTAGCCAGGAGGGACCAGTCCTTGGAAAAGGATATCATGCTTAGAAAGGTGGAGGGACAGCGCAGGAGAGGAAGACCCCAAATGAGATGGACTGACTCAGTAACTGGGGTAATGAGAGTAGGTGTGTCAGAAATAGTGAGATTGGCTCAGGATAAAGCAGGGTTCAGAGCTATTGTGCATAGGGTCACTATGAGTTGTGGTCAACTCATATATATGCTGTTGCTGATAGGGACTATTACTGCAACCCATTGCAACTTTGTGAACAGCAGATCAGAACCTCCCTCGCTCTCTATCCTGCACAATCTGGAGGCAATTGTTAAGTCACATTGTCAGCCTGTCTTTTTTTTTTTAAATAAAATTTGTATTTTACTGGTTTACTTACAAAGTTCATATCCATTGTTTTTCACACTGGATCTTTCATGTTTCCTCTTCCCATGTTACTGTCTTGTTGAAAGTCTTCCTCTCGTTTACTCATTTCCACCTTTCCCAACATACTGGTTTTCTCCAAGGACTGGCGCCTTCTGACAACATACCCAAAGTATGTGCAACAAAGTTTCACACTCCTTACCTCTAAAGGCCACCTTTGTTGCACTTCCTCCAAGGAAAGAGGTAGTTTGTTCTTTTGGCATTCCACGGACCAGTCAGTACTCTTCCTCAGCACATAGTTCAAAGCTGTAGAGGAGTCTCCTGTCTATAAGGCTGAAACCAAAGTGACTCCATTCTGATGACCTTCTGATCCTACCCAAATACCACTCAGTGTTCCTGGAAATAGTAAATTATTTGCTTAATGTCCATCCCTAGACTCATATTATGACTCACCCCAGAAGATCAAACAAGGAATGCTGAAATAGTGGGAAATGGCCCCAGGTCCTTCAGGCTGCTATGCTACCCCTAACCTGCCAATGTTGTTGTTGTTGTTAAGTGCCATTGAGTCGTAGGCAACTCATAGCGACCCTATGAACTAAAGACCTGAACGCTTGGATAACTTTCTTCATTTCTCCAAGTCCATAGGGTTTCCAGAGGCAAGCTATTTCAGAAGTGGATGCCCCTCCTGTTTCCAAGCCTATTTTAATCAGGGAGCTCCACCAAGCACTGTCTATCATGGGTGACCAATATCACATTTGGCACATCAGGGTCAGTGTTTGGCATCACAGCAACCACGAGTTACCTCTATACAGCAAATTGACAGACCAGTGCCATATCACTTAGAAGAATGTTTGACCAAAAACAATTAAAAGCAGCCCTGAGGGACACAGATTAAAATCACCCACCTTTGGCTTGGTAGCTTCACTTTCTGTCCATTAGACCAACTGAGTTTCTCTATGTTGTTGTTGTTAAATTCTTTGTTTCTCCAAGTTCATAAGAGACTACCCCTAACCTGCCAATGTAGCCTAGATAAATACCTTACTCTTTTCTTTGGTGCTGAGGCCAACTGAGCCCACTTTCACCAAAGTGCACATTTTAAATAAAGCATATTTGCTGTAAATTGTATTTGCTGGTGTTGCTTTTGGACTCTGTGGTGAGTTTGAACCTTTCACTGTCATCCTTAATCACCGTCTGACTTTCATATGCATAGGAAGTAATTAAAAAAGCAATGACTTGGATCAGATTTAGTCTGATCTTAGTCTTTAAACTGACACTGTTGCTTTTTAGTGATTCAAAGAGGTCCTTGACAGCAGAATTTCCCATGCAGCATGTCTTTTGATTTCTTGATTGCTCTTACCATAGGTATTGACTGTGTGGATCCAAGGAAAATGAAATTATTGACACCTGCAATCTTTTCTCCATCTATTATGATAATGCCTGTTGGTCCAGTGGTGAGGATTTTTGTTTCCTTGATACTGAGATGTAATCCCTAGTAAAGATTGCTATCTTTCATCTTCTACAGCAAGTGTTTCAAGGCCTCTTTACTTTCTGCAAGCAAAGTTACATCATCTGCAAATGATAGGTCTCTAAACACTCCTTGTATTGTGTTTGTTTTCTCCCATGGCAGAATCACCAGAGAAGTTTAAGAAAATGCAGATTTCTCGCTCTCAGCTCAGACTTTTCAACTTATCTATGATGGGCCCAAGAATATGCCAGGGACCTCCCACTGCCCTTAAAACTGTTAGTCAAGCGTAATGGTTTTGTTTTCCTCATTAGAGGTGCATACTTAGATGTCATATATTTTTCATCCTTTTCTCCCTTTCCTTTCCCATCCCACCCCAAAATGGTCCAGGAACTAGCCGAATTACTGGAGGAAGAAAAGCTGAATTGTGTGCCAGTGCTCATCTTTGCAAATAAGCAGGATTTGCTCACAGCAGCCCCTGCCTCCGAAATCGCAGAAGGATTGAACCTGCACACCATCCGAGACCGAGTCTGGCAAATCCAGTCTTGCTCAGCTCTCACAGGAGAAGGCATTCAGGTGAGATCTCTGGAGGGCTTGTTAACCTGGCAGCCACCCATGGTGGTCTTTCTGATTGGCTGAGTTGATCTAAATAGATAAAGATAGGAAACAAATAGCCTTTGCTTGGCAGATAAACCATTTCAGGATATGAAAGTTCTTTTCCCCTTTGCAGTCAATCTGATACCAGTCACTATTCCAGGAAGGCCACAGATAACAACAGACTTTCCCTGTTCATTCAGAAATCAGTATGCGAGACCTGGAAGATCTTTTCTGATTCTAAAATTCTCTTGAGTGTTTTGTTTTGTCTCTTAAGATTATGATACAAATAACTGTATTCCCTAAGTAATCAAGTTGTTGTTGTTATTGTATACTATCCAGTCGACTCATAACTGGCCCTCTGGCAGGTTTTCAGAGGCAGTTAATTGAAAGGGAGGAGATTGCTCATCCTTCTCCTATGGAGCATCTGGTGGATTCGAGCCAAATGCCTTCAAGATTGCAGTGCAGCTTCTTGCCACTAGGCCACCAGAGCTCCAGTTGTACACCAGTTGTTGTTGCTGTTGTTGTGTACCCTAGAGTTGGAACTGACCCATAGCTGACCCTCCAGCGGGTTTTCAGAGGCAGTTAATCATATGGAAGGAAATGGTCCATTCTTCTCCCTCAGAGCATCTGGTGGCCTTGAACCATGAGCCTTTCCTATTTTAGCACAGCTTCTTGACACTAGGCCACCAGAGCTATAGTATACCAGTGTGATCGTACACACTTATTTTCTGTTTTTTTCCGCTTCTTCTCTTAGCTCTGTTTTCATTTTTGGAGGTTGATTATCTCCACTGCCCTCAAGGTTGGTGTCTGTTTTGTGTTGCTTTAGGTTGTTTTCCCATTGGGAGGCTTCTGTGGACAGAAAGTCTGATCTTTATGTGTAACCGTTATACAACTGTGTACCTTTCTGAGCAACTCTATACCGGAACAGCCGACTCAGCCTCACTTGATTTAAGTTATGACAGAAAATGGTATATTCCAGACATCTAAGAGGTTCCATTTCTTCAGGAAATGAACTTGACAGTCAGAAGTCCATCTTCTGGGATTAGTTCTTTATTCTGACCCCCTAAGCATGCATGCCTTGCCCCATTTTAAACATCCGGTATACCTGTCTGTCCTGGAGAGGGTGAAACCAAATTTCTCCTTAAAGGCTAGGATTTTGAAGCTCTGTCTCACATACTTTGAGCACATAGCCAGGAGGGACCAGTATTTGGAGAAGAACATCATGAAGGGACAGCACAGGAGAGGAATACCCTGGAGGAGGCAGAGTGAAACAGTAACTGGGACAATGTGGGTAGGTGTGTCAGGATCTGTGAGACTGGTTTAGGATAGGACCGATGTCCTATCCTGAGATGTCCATAGTGTTGAGATGAGTTGTAGGCAATAACACTTGTCGGTTGTGACAGGGCGGTGAGAACTGGCCAGTGGTGCTCTAGGATGCTGTTGTTGATGATAGCGTCTAACGAACCTTGTCCACTCCTCACAGTGGTGAAGTCTATTTTGCAGTCACTGTGTTAGTCCACTTTGTTGAGGGTCTTCCTCTCCCTTGCTAACCCTCTACTTTTGGATCACAATGTCCTTCTTTAGGGACTGGCTCCTTCTTTTAACATACCCAAAGCTCTAGGATGCTGTGGGAGATGATTAGCATCTCCCCACATGGCCGTCTCTCACATTTCCCTAATGTCACAACCAGTTTTCTTTTTCTCTGAACTTGCTATGTTGGGTATGAGGCTGAGATTTGTTTCTTTTTCTTTTATTATTTTTGTGTGTGTGTACAGGAGGAGATTGTCCCTCCTTCTCCAGCAGAGCACCTGGTGGATTCAAACTGTGTACCTCTGGGATTGCAGTGTAGTTTCTTGTGACTAGGCCACCAGAGCTCCCTGAGATTTGTTTCTTAATCATTATCCTGCCACCTCTCTCCTCCTGAGATTCTTCTTTCCTCTCTCTCCTAAGACATTGAACACATTTATGTCCTAAAACTGCTTGAGGACTTTTCTCAAGCATATAGTGACATCCTAGAATTACCTCAGTTCTGGCATTGGCTTTGCAGCTTGCTTTTAGTTACACAGCAGCTCACTTCTGGTGCTGGTCTCTGAGCCTGAGGACCGACCAGTAGGCTGTTTGTTTGGGTTTTTGGGTTTTGGGGTTTTTTTTATTTTATTTTATTATTTTTGTGTGAGTGTACCGTCAAATCAGATGTGACTGGTACAGGAGGAGATTGTCCCTCCTTTTCCCGGCAGAGCATCTGGTAGATTCGAACCGTGTGCCTCTGGGATTGTAGTTGCAGCTCCTTGCCACTAGGCCACCAGAGCTCCCCTTGTTTTGTTTTTTTACAACAAATATGCTAAAACCCAGAATATTTTTAAATAGGAAAAGTCTAGTAATTTTCTTTCATTTTCTCCCATTACAACCCACTTATGGGAAAGGAAAATGAGTTTTTTTCTGAAATATTTCCCTCTAATTGTGCATATTGCATATTGGAGAGGCAAGGACGGTGTACTGCCTTGGGTGTGTTATAAGGAAGGGCCAGTCTCTAGAGAAGGGCATTGGATCCAAAAGTAGAGGGTTAACAAGGGAGAGGAAGACCCTCAACAAAGTAGACTAACACAGTGACTGCAAAATAGACTTCACCACTGTGAGGAGTGGACAAGGTTCCACCTGGTGTGTATTGGGTTGCTATGAGTTGAAATCCACTTGAAAGCATCCACCAGGTTTTTTTGGTTAGGTGCTTAAAAAAAGTTTTTTAAGGAGGTGACTCTGAAGAAGAGAGTAGCTTTTGTTTTGTTTCTATAAACCATTTCAGCAAGAGAACTTTGCCTCTCTAAAAGGATCAGAACGCACAAATGTCCAAAACAGAGAACATCTTGAGGTTAGGGCTGTAAAGTGAGACTTCATGTAAATAAATACGTGAGTAAATGCACACATTCTGGGTGTGGCCCCATAGGAAAGTGGGAATTGACAGCTCAGGAATATTTTTCACTTGGCCAGCAAAGTTGGCGTTAACAGTGAAGCTCTTGTTTCTCAGCCAAGCTCCAGGATGTAAGAAAGAAGGACTAGAATTATCTAGAATCAGTATGTCCAATAGTGGCATTAAAGTCAAGGGCAAGGCTTCAGAGGAGCCTGGGGGCTAGGGAGGAAGCTCTTAGTTCTCACTTACCCCTGCCCAGCAGCGGAAGGAAAGCTCTCAGTATCTGGCTCTGTAACTACCAAAGAACTGCAGTGCTTTTCAAGTCACAGGGTCTTCAGGCCAAAAGAAAAAGAAGCAGGGAGGTAGCTGACATTTGGAGGGTAGGAATAGGCAGGGGAGGGCTTTGAAATCAACTGGTTTGAATCAGGTGAGAATATTAAATATGGTTTGATTTCTGAAAGAAAATTCTCAGATTAGGGACTTTGAGCAAGTTCACAGGAAATGATATCAAGGGAGATCCAACAAAGAGCTATAAGCAGGTGGGGGAAAAAAGAGAAAGATTTTATATGGAGGAGAAGGAGTTTGAAGGTCATTTAATTAGTTTAGTAGATAGCACCATGGTGTATAGAATTGGGTAGTTAAGACTGGGATTTCAAGGTTAATGAGATTAGATTATGGTTAATAGAATGATATAAATTTAGAAAATTTAACCATTATTTGAAATGGGTTATTTAATAAAAATGTTAATTAAGAAGGGAATCGGCTGTCTATTGTCCTTTAATGGTGACCTTTGGGGACTGGAGAAAGGTCGTGGCGTCTTCCTGTGCAAACACCTTTCTCTGTGAAGCACTGATTGACCCGATCCCTTCCGCGATCCCTTCCGCGGGTGATGCCTTAACCTCAGCTCTTGCCCACTTGGTCAGTTCCTTGTACACTTTAAAAAGTGTCACTGAAGTGGAACTCCTGCTTGCTTAGTGAATATGCAGGCTTTTAATGATTTTTATTAATTAAGGATCAAAGTGTTCTTTTAAAAAAAAATTGAAGACTTCATTAGAAAAAAAAAATATTTCAAAGACTTGCTTGTTTGGCATTCACTCTCAGACGCAGACACTTTCACAGATAACTACAGTTCTCTAAACTCCTGTTTATCCTCCCCAGCCCCGAAAGCTGGTCGGCAATAGGCAAAGCTGTCAACAAGATCCAGCACTAAATACTAAATAGGTCAGGTAGCCCGTGGTACCACAGCTTGTTTCACCCTGGAAGAAAACATGGAAAGGTCATAAAAGGACCTGGAATCCTGGTTCATTTCAGGTGTTTAAAGACTGTTTCTATTTATACTTTAGGTTTAATCCAAATGTGTTTGAGAGACTTATTTTATTTTGTTTTATTCTTTTGTGTGTGTGTGTACCATCAAATTACATCTGACAGGTACAGGAGGGAATTGCCCCTCCTCCAGCAGAGCATCTGGTTGATTCGAACCGCATACCTCTGGGATTGCAGTGCAGTTTCTTGCCTTTAGGCCACCAGAGCTCCCTTGAGAGACTTGTCTTATAATGATAAAAAAGCAAGCAAACAAACAAAAACTAGACACCAGTGGGTGGGTGAGCCATTGCCCAATGGTGCTTCCTGCCCTTCTGTGGACCAGCATCACGGGTGTGTTGCTTCTGATTTGGGATTCTGGAAGAGACTGATTCATAGTATCCATTATCTTCAGGGTTTTGTTCCCCTGACGTTCTGCAGGCAAACATATGCAATTCTGAGGAAAAGCAATGCTTCAAGCTGCTCAGCAGCCCAGTCCTGGGTGGAGAAATGGACTTTTGAGGGCTTCCGTGGAGTTGAGAACAGGTCTTTCTTTTACTGATTGATGATGACTAGGAGGCCGGCCCATCATATAATTAAAGCAGGTTTTCATAGGAAACTGTCAGGAGCAGAGAATAGGTAAAGGGCATAAGAAGCTGAAGGAGAACATCAATCTTAGAAACTCTGTCCTCCTCAGAGGCCCACAGTCCAGGGGAGCGATCAGAGGAGACCCAGTTATGTCAAGCAGGTGAAGGCAGAAAGAGGAGAAACTGAAAAATGTCTGAGCAGAGCAACGTAAACTCCCCCTGTGAGATTCCAATCCAGCCTTGGAGGAAGCCTCCCTCTGTGCACTAGTGGCCAAGCGTCTTCTGGTGCAGAACATTTAGCCCAGGGACTCTCATCCTGTTCTTTTCCCTAGGGTTCTAGAAAATAGTGAACACAGGGTCTGGCTTAAGGCCAAAAAAAAGGTAGAATGAAATCAGTCCCTCTTCCATTACAAACCCGAATTGGAACCGCAAACCAGTAGCTCTCTTTGCTGTTGTAGTTTCTTTTAAAACATTGAGTGTATGTGATTAAAATGACACTAGATTTGAATGTCCTTTTCAAGTAGAGACCAGCAGTTTTAACCTGGTTCCTACCCCAGGCACAGTGAAGACCTGCCTACACCAACAGCCGTGAACGAGCAGAAGATTCCCTTGAGTCTTGCTTTCTGTGCTTTCACCTCCTACTCATCTATCTTTTTGCATTTATCCCACAAGGCCTCTCTTTCTCCCACCAGCAGGCACAATGGTCCAGTTCACAGTGCTGTGGCTTCCCTAGAAAGAACAATTAGCAGGCCCAGCACTTAGAATGGGTGCTGAGCCTCAGAGATAGTCTCACAGGTAAACACTGAACATTCATCTGCAGTTTCTTGTTTCTGTTTCTTTTGCCTTGATCTAAGGGATGTTTCCCTTAAAATCCCAACAGTATTTCATTATTTTAAAAAATCCCATCTGCTGCTTCTTTCTAGGCCTTGTGATTGTCTTTCAGTGTGCTTATCTGCAAGTCAGACCTCAGTTTTATTTTTAAATGTTCAAACATTTTGGGAGACTCAGAAAGCAAGTTTGGAACATGAAATTTTGCATCCTCCCTCATGTAGTGCCCAGAATGGGGGGGGGGGGGAATCCTAGCAAGCAATATCTTATGTATGCCGCGGCCAGCTGCTCCTTGACCCTGGGGGCCTGATGGCCCAACAGGAGAGGCCACACTGCTCAGCACGGGTCTGAGGTCCTTGCCATCTTAAAGCAATTACTGATGTGACCACAGTCTTCGTGGCTTTAAAAACTGGGTCCACCCAACCATGGCCGCCACCGCTTCCCTGCAAAACCATAGAGCAGTGATGGATGCATTGTTGGGAGATCAAATTAAAAAAAGCAGCGCAGTAAGTGACCACTCTTCACATAAAAGAAGCATCATGCCTTCAATTCTGGAAGCTCAAGAGCTGTCATTAGTAGGTTCCCACCCATATGGTTAGGGGCAGCCTTCTATTTTCCCCAGCGGTTTTACTAGAGAATGATATTATGACATGGAAATATTTACTTCCTTCCCATAAGGCCAAATAAAGCTCAGCGTTTGAGGTTTAATATCTCTCTTTAGTTCCTGTTATTGAATTGAAGCTAATCAATTCAAATTCTGTTTCAGCACAATTGGCCAGGGGAAGAGAGAATGCTATTCATACCATAAGGTGGTCATCCTCACAGTGAAGATCAAAAGTGCAGAAAATTTGTCTAACCAGTTCTTAACGATAAAGGCTCAACCATTAAATAACTCTATGAATTCAATTCCTTCTGTTGGAATCAGGGCAGTAACCTATTTCAAGTAAAGGATCACTTTTTCTCAGTTGTCTGTTTAAAATATATTTTTAAAAAAGGTATTGCCAAATAAAGCAGCAGTGGTGTGAAGCATTAATTTAAACATAAGAGAGGCAGAAGGTTCCTCCTATGGTTTCTCTAAATGCCATTTTCTCTGGAGGCAGGGGTCCTGAAACTAGGTAGCTAGCCAGTCTTCCACCTGCAGCCCAGGAGTCTTGAGGTTGAGAGGCTAAAAACAGCCTCTGCCTGGAACTTTCAGAGTTGCAGGAAAACCTTGGAGGCTGCTTGACTGGAGGGATACCCCAGTCTCAAGGTCCCTGTTCAACAGAAAGTCATAATGAGGAAAAATTGGAATTGCTCCCCCCACTTGCCCAACAGCAGAGTGATTGTCAGCTCCTCCGCCGTTATCATTAAGGGTAAATATTTGGAGAGCTTGGATGCTGGAGTGAGGCTCCCTGCTAGGAGCCTAGCTCTGCCACTTTTGGGTCGATGGCCTTGAGAAAATTATTTAGTCTTTCTTTGCCTTCATTTTCTTATCTATAAAATGGGAATAACAGTAGTACTTGCTTCACAGTGTGATTTTTTTTTAATTGTGTGTGTGTGTGTGTGTGTGTGTGTGTGTGTGTGTGTGTTTACTATCAAATCAGATCTGACTGGTACTGGAGGAGATTGCCCCTCCCTCCTTCTCCATCAGAGCATCTGGTGGGTTTAAACCTCACTCCTCTGGAATTGCTGTGCAGCTTCTTGCCACTAGACCACCAGAGCTCCCTCATATGGTGATTTTAAGGATTGAATGATTTCTGCAGAAGAGCTTAAAACTAGTAGAGAGAGAGAGTGAGCCCTCAGACACCAGCAGTTATTACTTATGTGATAGGAAGTAACTGAAAAGGAGGAAGGAAACTAAGTGGCTGTCAGGCCAATGTGGCATGTGCCCACTCCTGTCCCCAGGGGTGTTGGACCGCTATTTTCTTTCCCTTCCAGTGGGCAACTTGGCAAAACTGGTCCCTGATTGAAGAGGAATTAGTGTCTTTTTGCCCTTCCACCTCCCAAGCCCCAGCCCAGGGTCTCTGGATAAGGTAAAACACCTCCTCCTCCCCAGCACCCCTGTTGCTGTCTGCCATGAAGTCAGAACCAGCCCTTAGCTGACCCTCTGGCAGGTTTTCAGAGGCAGCTAATCACACAGGAGGAGATTGCCCATGGTGTAGCTGGTGGGTTCGAACCACGTGTCTTCAAGATTGCTGTGCAGCTTCTTAACCCCTAGCCTACCAGAGGTCCCTCCTAGCAGCCCCTAGATCCTTCAACAGAGCGGCCTCCTTGATCTTCATATCAAGTCCTCCCACACTGTTCCTTGCAGTTCCCACACTGAGTTGCAAGCAGCAGCTGTGGAGGTCGCGGGGCTGACCTCTGAGCGCCCTCTGTTGGCCAGCCTGGAACTGGAAGGACTGTCACCACTGGCTCCCAAACATCTGGAGAAACACACTGGCCCCTCAGCAGGGCTCCAGCGTTCAACCTCGCCTCTGCCTCCATAACAGATACGCAGGATAAACCGACCCCTCACCCTCCACCTTCTGCTGTGGGCTCCTGCAGCTGAGTCAATATTTTCCTATCTCTCTGCCTGCGTCCATGTTCGGTTACATATAAGAAAGGAAAAGCTCCTTCCATAATCACCTCTAAAACGAAGGAGGGGGGAAAAAATAATGACATTCGCATAGTGTGGGAACACTGTTGTTGATTTCTCTGAGGCGATGGTTTGATAAAATAGTGCAAGTCTTCCTCCAGGAGAAAACATTGAGGTGTGCACCTCTGCTGATGCTCGTGCGGGTTCTTGAAGATGGAGGGTGCCACAAAGTGCTGAGCTGTTCAGCTTCGCAGGCGAAGGAAGATGCCTATCTGCTGCCTCCCGCTTTTATTTGTGAAATCCTTTTTTTTTTTTTTTTTGTCTCCTGCCAGGTGATCATTTTTTTTTTCTTTCTTTGTCGTGGAAACCAATTAGCTACTAAAATTAAACAGGCTCCTCGTGAAATGATTCCTTTTCATAGTGTGATCTTAAAATTGGCCTCTGATTTTTTCAGGGTTCGGAGCTGACCCAGATGTAACTGGAGATTCAGGTGGAGCCCGCCTTTTTCTCACCTCGTGTTTCTCTTTCCCCCTCCCCACCTCGCATTCCTCTTCCCCCCTTCCCTGCCAGGTGCACTCCATCTTTGGGCTTTCGGCCATGCCCAGCCTCTTCTTGGCAAATGTTGTGGGGTCCACTCAGGGACAGCCGAGGGATTATCTGCCTCTCCCGCCCAAGTGCCCTGATGGCAACTGGCAGAGTTTTAATCACTGTAAATTCAGGTTATGGTCAGATTAGCCAGGAGATAGGATGCCTGCTGGTTGTTTTGCAGTGATGTATTGTTTATGGGATTAATGTTCCGAATGGCCGAGGGTGTCAGCTGATATTTATTACGTTAAGCTGCCTCAGCTGTTCTGGTTCAGCAGCTCGCGCCACGGTCACAGGGAATGTGGGACTCGGTGTGTCACAGATGCCCTGAGAGGTGCAGGCGCGGGCTCGACCAGCGCCTCAGGAGCATGTGCTGCAGATGTCAGGAAAAGACCTCTGCCTCCTCTTTGTGGGGCTTCTGAGGCACCTGTGCTACCCCTGAAGGTCAAGGGGGACTCTGGGGACAGGGAGAGCAATCAGGTGTGACTCCAGAGGAGGGTCGTAAAGGAGGTCATCGCTGACAGGCCTGGCATCGGGAGAAAGCATACCACCTGCCAGGTGGCTCTCGGCATTGTGTGGTTTTCACCTGGTCCCTCTCCAGCCTTCCCGGAGAGGACACTCTGAAGGTCACTGTGCCTTTAAGAGAGACTTCCCCCCACCCCTGTTTGGTGTGTTAGAGCCCCCCACCCCTCTTAGAGGGTCTGTGATGCCGCTCCAAGAGAGTAAGTGCCCCAACTGTGTGTCTAGTAACACACTGCAGTGGGTTTGTTTTTCCAAAAAGAAATTGAATTTAACCCCGAGTGTACACTGTCACATTGTAAACACGCTGGGGCACCAGAAGGGTGGCTTATTGAATTTAATGCCCTAGCAAAGGTCAGCTTTCAGAAAAAGCCAGAAAGGGCTGGAATCTTTCCTGATAGCTCCTCAGTTGGGCCTTAGATCCCGGCAGATGTGTTTATTTGTTCAGAGGGAGTTTCTGAGAACCCATCTCAAGTTCAAGCACTGGGCACTCTCCCCCACCAGCTCCCTCCTCTGTTCCCAGAGGCCCCCTCCTCCTGGTCATCCAGGTGGGCCCCTCAAGCAGACAGACTCCCTAAGGGCTCGTGGCCCTGGAAGGTGCCCCTAAGGACCCCTCACCATCCCTGCTGGTAGGCCCGAGTTTGTAGTCCTCTCCTCCAGCTAACTCTGCCTTTCTCTGCCCCTTCCCCTCCTAGGATGGCATGAACTGGGTCTGCAAAAATGTCAACGCAAAGAAGAAATAGAATCTAGACGAATGGAGAAGCAGGAGCTGCGGGAGCTGAATCCTGTCCTGAAAAACACTAATTTGCTGCTTTCCGACCAAATGTTTTTCCATCTGTGTACAGCTACAGCTGTTTGAAGAGAAGGAACAGCACAGTTTAAAGAGAATCCCCATTCCGGCAGTAGGTTTAACCGATCTCTGAGGTTCAGTATCATTTTTCAAATAAAGGAATTATATTATTTCCTCTGCATAATTGAAATAGTATTAAATGTCTCAAAGCACATGATTAGAAAATGAGATCTTTTAAATGAGCAAGAGATTGCATTGCAGTTTAGACAATTCCAGGGGGCTTTTTTTTTTTCTTTCCCCTTTTCCAAGAAGAAAGAGGAAGCAGCAGAAGCCTGTGCTGAGTTCATTTATTTACTGACCTGTCCCTTACATGCCTCTTGTGGCCCTGAAACCACACAGACACGCGCGCGCACGCACACACACACACGTACGTTTGTCAGTGCTACCCCTGTGATTTTTACCACCACTGGGTGAGCCAGTGAGTCTGTCTGACATGAGGCTGCGAGCGGGGGAGGGGAGGAGTAGCAGATGATTAAACCATCTTGTCATGCAGGTAGCAGGCTGTGTATGTAATCTGCACCCTTTGGACAGGGTGGGAGGAAAACAAAAACCTTTCTTGCAAACAAGTCACTGCAGAACTGTACCCAGTCCCTACCCCCCGGCCCACAGCACAGGGAAGCAAATTCGTATGACTTTTGACTGTAATGACATCTGGAATGTAAGGAGAGGTGGGAGGTTTTAATTCCAGAAAAATTACAAGGTCCTTAAAAAGCCCTCTCACATCGAGAGCTCAGGCTAGCGCAAACAGGCTTTCTCCAGTTCAGTGGAGCAGGGAGCAGCGGACGCCGAGATTAGCTGCCTTCTCAGGGCCGTCCTATAGAAGGGATTTCTAAAGCTCAAAGAATTCTGTGTTTAAATAATCACAATAGGCTGCCGCTATCAGATTTTAAAAATAAATGCAGCTTTACCATGAACCCGCTCCTCCCGAGAAAAGCCAGGCAGATCGATTTTTTAGAAGAGATCAATTTTTACAGAGCTGGCACCTTGGTGGGGTAGGTTGATCCCAGTGGAGGGGGTTTGCTGCTTGAAGGAAGGGGCGTGTGTGAGGCCAGGGGTCAAGCCTGGAGAACTGAAGTCGCTGGCCTGCCTAACTCTAGTAAATCGTAACCTCTGTTGGTTGATCGCTGAGGAAGTGCAGAGACTTCTCCTGCCCTGTGTTGCAAAAACAGCTTATTTCCTTGAGACATCAGAAATCCCCAGCTTCAAACAGGGGAGGGGGGTGAGGTGGTGGTGGGACAAGCCAGGGCATCACCCAACTCCTGAACTGAACTTTCTTCTGGTTTCCTGAGTTCACAGGCTTTCAGAGAATGAATAAGATCCTGCCCAAAGCTTGGTGGGTCCAGGGAGGCAGCTGCCTTCTAATCTTAGGAGGTGGTCCTTCCCAAGCCCACCAAGGCGCTGAAGCCAGCCTGTGGGGCCTCTGCAGCCCCTGTCCCTCAGCCTTGCTAGAGCTAAGTCCTGTTAGGCCACAAGAGTATCACCTATTGTGCAGGTGAGACTGAAGTGAGGCCAGTTTCACACCTGGTCTGAATTCAAGGTCATTCACAAAGCCAGTCAGGAAAAGGTGCTCTGAGATTCCTGTGCACAGACTGGTAAGGACTTGCAGAATAAAGGAAGATGAGTTTTCTTTTTTTTTTTTTTTTAGGAAGGTGAGTTTTCTTAAACCACAGAGCCCGTAGCTCCCAGAATCCTCCACTGGACTCCTCTCTAGCTTTGAACAGGGGCACAGCTACATAAGCAGGAACCAGAACTCCCCTCCCACCAGGCCGCATATGTGGCTCTTGTTGGTAAGTGGTGTTAGGTCAGTTTGGACTCGCAGCAGTCCCTCCTGAACAGCAGAATGAAACACGGCCCAATACCGAGCCACCCTCTCAGTCATTGCCATAGCTGAGCTTGCTGTTACAGCCACGGTGTCCATCCATCTTGCTGGGCCTTCCTCTTTTTTCCAGTGACCTTCCACTTTACCAAGGGTGTCTTTCTCCAGGGACTGTCCCTCCTCATAACACATCCAAAGCGCCATCCTCACTTCCGAGGAGCCTTCTGTCAGCCTTCCAGGACGCATTTGTCCTCCTAGCTCCAGCAGTCCATGGTACATGCAGTGCTGTTTGCCAGCGCCATAATTTAAAGGCATCCGTTCTTCGGCCTGCCTTATTCATTGTCTGGCCTTTGTGTGCATTTGAGGGGACAGAAAATGCCATGGCTTGGGATGGCACCCCTTGATCCCCAAAGTGACATCTTTGTTTTTCTAATACTTCTAAGAGGGTTTTTGCCGCAAGGCAATATGCTTGTGTGGCACTAACACTTGAAAATTGCTTTTCCCTCCAAATAGCACCCTAGAGATGTTACCTGAGGGGCAAAAAGCTGGGGAAAAGTTGGAAACACTGCAGTGTGCAACTTGACAGTGACTAGTGCGTAAAAAACTGTGCTGCTTTTACCACCAACTTCGGGAACTGTTTTAAGCACCCTCCCCAGGCCTCAGCTCGTGGGCAGAAGTCCCCTGTCGGTCCTCCTCTGCTGACAGCCTCTGTACATGTTCAGATTTGCTTCTCGGCTCAAGCGCCACAAAGACATTGTGGATGTCACGAGCTTTCATCTTCCCTTTGAGCTCTATTGAACCCATCCCGGAGCTCAGGGGGTAGATGAGAGAAGCCTGGAAAATGCAGAGTTTGAAAGCTCCCATTTGTAAAAACAAAATGCTTTTTAAGTCCCCCGTACCGCTCTCCAGGTCCCAACTCCCACCCCCTGTGGCCACAACCAGAAGACAGAATTTTGAAGTTAGAAAGGGGATACCCTCTTCCCCAGCCCCCAATAAGTCAAATCTCAGTAAGACTTTGCGATTGCATCTGAATGTGTATTGGGGGGAGGAGGAGCCCGAGGGCCAGAGGGCAGGCCCGGCCTGGGACAGGGACTGCCATGTACTCCAAGGAGTTGTGGGAAAAAGCTCAAGCCCTGAGCCCTTCCTCTCCTCTGCTCCCTGTCGGCTCCTCCGACCCTCCTTTTGGCTGGCTTCCCTGCGCCCAGTAGAGCACACACTTTCCCCTTCACTCTCCCTTGGTTACTATGGCAACAAGGGTGTCATTGATGTGGGCTGAGCGGGGGAACATGTTGGTGCACAGCTGAAAGTCAGCGATTATGCCGGCGGTTAGGAGCGTCGTGCCAGGGTCAAAGGAGCCCGCAGCTCCCACCGCAGCTGGGAGGGCACCACTCTGGACCCTTTCTGCCTCCATCGTCTCCACCACTCGCCCTCCTGGCTTTTGACAAATTTCTTTCTTCCCCTCTGGGCTGAAGTGGTGGCTATTTTTGTGCCACTCTGCGTCCCACCCTCACTGTGGGCTGCTCCTATCCGGCCTGGCCTGGAGGGTGACACTCTGTCACCCTCACCAGGACTCGTCCGCAATTCCTGTCAGAATTTGCTTTGATTTCTCTTTCCTTCCCTTCTCAGGGACCAGTGCTTAGTCCCTTTTATTTTTAGCTCTGCGCTCCATGTGGTTTCAGGGTTCAGTCTGATCCATCGGAAGGTTCTTTTTTTATCGTCCCTTTTGAAAATGATAATCAAAGGAAGGGACGTGGTGTTTGGTCATGTGGAAAACTCAATGTATAATTTAGACGTCTGTCAAAAATCCAACAAATAAGATTCAGTTGAAATGAAGGCAGCTTGAAACGAGCGGTGTTCTTTATGGGAACTGGGAGAGGGCCTGAAATGTGTTTGACCTTTGAGAAGGTCAGAAAGTCTTAAGAGACTTTCCCCAGAAGGATAGAATAGAATTCTGTCTCAACAATAATAGCCAAAAGAAAAATACCTATTCGAGCCAATTGTAATAGCTGACCCTTGAGCACGTTTACAGAGGCAGTAAAATCACACGGGAGGAGATTGCCCATCCTTCTCTCATGGAGCAACTGGTGGGTTCAAACTCTGTGCCTTTAGGAGAGTAAAACTGCCTTTAGGGTTACTAAGGCTGTAATCTTTTTGTTTTTTTCTTGTTTGTGTGTGTGTACCGTCAAATCAGATCTGACTGATACAGGAGGAGATTGTTCCTCCTTCTCCAGCAGAGCATCTGGTGGATTTGAACCGCACACCTCCAGGACTGCAGTGCATCTTCTTGCCACTAGGCCATCAGAGTTCGCCTAAGGCTGTAATCTTTAAGGAAGCAGGTTACCACAACATTCTGCCTCAAAGTAGTTGATAGGTTTGAACTGGTAAGCATTTGGTTAACAGCTGAATGTTTGACTACTGTGTCACCAAGGCCTCCAGCTCTGCTATGCACCAGGCACATTAAACCCAATAGGGACAAGACCTCCGCCTACTTTACAGCTAAGGAAACTGAGGCAGTTCAGGAGTTTTCCTAAGATCACTGGGGAGCTCTGGTGGCCTAGGGGTAAGAAGCTGCACTGCAATCCCTACAGTGCTCTGCTCAAATCCTCAGCTGTTCTGTGGGAGAAGAATGGGCAATGTCCGCCCATACAATGTTCTGGCTGCTGCTGGAAACCCGTGGGAGGGTCAGCTATGAGTCAGTTCCAATTTGATAGCACCCAACAACCACAAGCCAAGATCACCGTAGCTAGGGCCTGGGAGCTGGGTCTGAATGCAAACTGCCTCCTCCCAAGGACAAAGACTGCATGACCCCTTTTCCCAGTAGATAGCCTCAGTCTTCTGCCTCCGCAGTTCTCCAGCACACACCTCCGCGCTGTAAGTCTCAGTAGCACTGATCCCCCAAGGGGTCCTTGTCCCAGATAATTAGTGTCCCCTGTCATCAAGACATGGGTGTCAGCACAACCATGGGGTTTGTACTCAAGTCCAGCCCCACAGATGTGAAAAAAGTAGGATTTCCTGCTATAGAAAAAGTCCCTATCAAAACTTCACTTACTGCACTTTACTAACATAGAGGGAGGTTGGTGACACAGGGGAAAGGCCCACAATCTACTTCCCTAGAGTGTTGTGTTGGCGAGCTCTGGTGGCCTAGTGGCAAGAAGCTGCACTGCAGTCCCAGAGGTGTGCGGTTCAAATCCACCAGATGCTCTGCTGAACGAGGGACAATGTCCTCCTGTACCAGTCAGATCCGATTTGACGGCACACAGAAAAAATTGGAAAAAAGAGAAAAAAAAGAGTGCTGTGTTGTGACGCGC